AGCTGAGGGTGTGCTGGTGGGATGGACGGGAGCTAGTGGGATGGGTCCTGCAGGGATGGGGTTAACTCTGCCTCCCTGGCCACAGTTGATTGGCCCATGGCTGTACCCAGTAAGTCCCAGGCCCCTCCTTTCTCCCACGTGTATAAACATATATGCATCCTAAGTTGTTTCAGTCATGTCCAACTTTTGACGACCCTGTGGACTGTAACCCGCTAGACTCCTCTGTCCATGGGATTCTCTAGGCAAGAATACTGGAGTGTGTTGCTATGCCCTCCTCCAGTGGATCTTCCTGGCCCAGGGATCAACCTACAACTCCTGTAGTTCCTGCATTGCAGGTGGATTCTTTTACCACTGAGCTGCTTGGGAAGCCCCTATGATTGTGTCAAATTAAAAGATGGAGGGTGTTTTTTTTTTTATGGGATAAAATATTTTACCCCGTATTTGCTATCTAGCCATCTGATTTATTAGATGAGAAAACTGAGGCTTAGTGAGCTAAAGACACCAAAGTAGAAGAACAAGTGTAGGGCCTGGCCCCTGGGTCTAGGCTCTTCTTCCAGCACTTGTTGCTATATCTCAAAGCCCATGAGAAGATGGGGCTTTAGGTTGTTGATGCACTTCAGAAGCTTGCAGGGTAGGGGGTAAAACACAGGCAAGTTTTGAGCTTTAAAATGAAGACAGTGTGTTTAGAAGACAATAGAGAAAATGGGCAAGGTTTCTGTTGGACAGTATTAGGAAGCAAGTTTATTACTTTCTCTGGGTTTTTTGTTCTCTACTCTAAGACTCAGAGTTGGTTGATACACCCCAGCCAGATGGATGGGCGACATGAAGGTGTAATTTCTCTAGTCATAATTTCTCTCATTAAATGATACCTGTGCATCCAAAGGTTTGCTGTGACTATAAAGTAGTAGATCAGAAATTATTGTTCTTTGGAAAAATTTTAAATGCCATAAAGGTGAAAGTTGGTATTGCAGTTAGAATGCCAATAAAAACTTGAGAAACTCACATTATATCCTTGATACTTTCCAGAATTTTTTATTTGTTTTTCACTAACTATGAAGTCTTCCCTGGTATCTCAAATGATAAAGAGTCTGCCTGTAGTGCAGGAAACCCAGGTTTGATCCCTGGGTCAGGAAGATCCCTGAGAAGAGAAGGAAATGGTAACCCACAGCAGTATTCTTGCCTGGAAAAATCACATGAACGGAGGAGCCTGGCAGGCTACATCCCATGGGGTTGCAAAGAGTTGGACATGACTAAGTGACTTAGACACACACAGGCAGGATATTCACCATGATCATTGTTGCTTCGTGGGTGCGATGCATTTTGAACATAGTAACACCATTAAATACCTCCACACTCCCCATCTCAATGCTGGTAGATGTCATCAGGATATAGGTTGTGTGACACAAACCATCTATCACTAGTGTCAAAGGCTTGAAGTGTTGAGTAGAAGCCACTGTCGAGGATTCTGGTGCTCCCCTCTGTGTGTGGTACTGGCTGATGACTAAACAGTGTCACAAGAATGTCAAGATCAACCTTCTGAGTTGGCATGGTGCCAGCTGGTCAGAGTGGCCATCACTTCCTATTTTGAGTGTACTCAAAATTGGGAGGCAGGCTGAATAAGTAAAAATAATAGTAGTTACCATCTGGAGTAAAATTGCTATTTACTGTCCTTCTGAAATTTATCTATATTGTATCTATTTTCTGGTAGTTGTGACAGTGGTTTTAGACACTTTATGGATTATATTGTTGATTGTGGGTTCTCAGTCGTGTCCGACTCTTTGCATCCCCATGGACTGTAGCCCACCAGCTTCCTCTGTCCATGGAATTCTCCAGGCAAGAATACTGGAGTGGGTTGCCGTTTCCTATTGCAGGGGATCTTCCTGACCCAGGGATCAAACCCATATCCCTTGCATCTCCTGCATTGGCAGGTGGATTCGTTACTAACTCCGCCACCTGGGAAGCCCAGGATTATGGGTTATCATTTCAGTTCAGTCCCTCAGTTGTGTCTCACTGTTTGCGACCTCATGGACTGCAGCACGCCAAGCTTCCCTGTCCATCACCAGTTCCCGGAACTTGCTCAAACTCATGCCCATTGAGTTCGTGATGCCATCCAACCATCTCATCCTCTGTTGTCCCCTTCTCCTGTCTTCAGTCTTTCACAGCATCAGGGTCTTCCTCAAGGAGTCATTTCTTCTCATTAGGAAGCCAAAGTATTGCAGTTTCAGCTTCAGCCTTGGTCCTTCCAATGAATATTCAGTATTGATCTCCTTTAGGATGGATTGGTGGGATCTCCTTGCAGTCCAAGGGACTCTCAAGAATCTTCTCCAACACCACAGTTCAAAAGCATTAATTCTTAAGCACTCAGCTTTCTTTATAGTCCAACTCTCACATTCATACATGACTACTGGAAAAACCATAGCTTTGACTAGATGGACCTTTGTTGACAAAGTAATGTCTGCTTTTTTATATGCTGTCTAGGTTGGCCAAAGCTTTTCTTCCAAGGAGCAAGCGTCTTTTAATTTCAGTCACCATCTGCAATGATTTTGGAGCCTCCCCAAATAAAGTCTCTTACTATTTCCACTGTTTCCCCACCTATTTGCCATGAAGTGATGGGACCAGATGCCATGATCTTAGTTTTCTGAAGGTTGAGCTTTAATCAACTTTTTCACTCTCCTCTTTCACTTTCATCAAGAGGCTCTTTAGTTCTTCACTTTCTGCCATAAGGTGTCATCTGTGTATCTGAGGTTATTGATATTTCTCCCAGCAATCTTGATTCCAGCTTGTGCTTCATCCAGCCTAGCATTTCTCATGATGTACTATGAATATAAGTTAACTAAGCAGGGTGACAATATACAGCCTTGACATACTCCTTCTGTTATTTGGAACCAGTCTGTTGTTCCATGTCCAGTTCTGTTGCTTCCTGACCTGCATACAGATTTCTCAGGAGGCAGGTCAGGTGGTCTGGTATTCCCATCTCTTGAAGAATTTTCCACAGTTTATTGTGATGCACACAGTCAAAGGCTTTGGCACAGTCAATAAAGCAGAAATAGATATTTTTCTGGAACTCTCTTGCTTTCTTGATGATCCAGCTTATGTTGGCAATTTGATCTCTGGTTCTTCTGCCTTTTCTAAATTTAGCTTGTACATCTGGAAGTTCATGGTTCATGTACTGTTGAAGCCTGGCTTGGAGAAATTTGAGCATTACTTTGCTTGCGTGTGAGATGAGTGCAATTGTGTGATAGTTTGAACATTCTTTGACACTGCCTTTCTTTGGGATTGGAATGAACACTGCCCTTTTCCAGTCCTGTGGCCACTGCTGAGTTTTCCAAATTTGCTGGCATATTGAGTGCAGCACTTTCACAGTGTCTTCTTTTAGGATCTGACATAATTCAACTGGAATTCCATCACCTCCACTAGCTTTGTTCATAGTGATGCTTCCTAAGGCCCACTTGACTTCACATTCCAGGATGTCTGGCTCTAGGTGAGTGATCACACCATCATGGTTATCTAGGTCATGAAGATCTTTTTTGTATAGTTCTTCTGTGTATTCTTGCCACCTCTTCTTAATATCTTCTGCTTCTGTTGGGTCCATACCATTTCTGTCCTTTATTGAGCCCATCTTTGCATGAAATGTTCCCTTGGCATCTCTAATTTTCTTGACGAGATCTCTAGTCTTTCCTATTCTATTGTTTCCTTCTATTTCTTTCATTGATCGCTGAGGAAGGGTTTTTATCTCTCCTTGCTATTCTTTGAAACTCCACATTCGTATAGGTATATCTTTCCTTTTTTCCTTTGCCTTTCACTTCTCTTCTTTTCTCAGCTATTTCTAAGGCCTCCACAGACAGCCATTTTGCCTTTTTGCATTGCTTTTTCTTGGGGATGGTCTTGATCACTGCCTCCTGTACTATGTCACGAACCTCCGTCCATAGTTCTTCAGGCACTCTGTCTTCAGATCTAATCCCTTGAATCTATTTGTTACTTTCACTGTATAGTCATAAGGGATTTGATTTAGGTCATACTTGAATGGTCTAGTGGTTTTCCCTACTTTCTTCAATTTAAGTCTGAATTTGGTAATAAGGAGTTCATGATCTGAGCCACAGTCATCTCCCGGTCGTCTTTTTGCTGACTGTGTAGAGCTTCTTCATCTTCAGCTGCAAAGCATATAATCAGTCTGGTTTCAGTATTGACCACCCAGTGATGTCCCTATGTAGAGTGTTCTCTTGTGCTGTTGGAAGAGGGTGTTTACTATGACCAGCGTGTTCTCTTGGCAAAACTCTGTTAGCCTTTGCCCTGGTTCATTTTGTACTCTAAGGCCAAATTTGCCTGTTAGTCCAGGTATCTCTTGACTTCCCACTTTTGCATTCCAGTCCCCTATAATGAAGAGGACATCTTTTTTGAGTGTTAGTTCTGGAAGGTCTTGTAGGTCTTCATAGAACCGTTCAACTTCAGCTCCTTCAGCATTACTGGTTGGGGCATAGACTTGGATTACTGTGATATTGAATGGTTTGCCTTGGAAATGAACAAAGATCATTCGGTCATTTTTGAGATTGCTCCCAAGAACTGCATTTCAGAGTCTTTTGTTGATTGTGAGGGCTACTCCATTTCTTCCAAGGGATTCTTGCCCACAGTAGTAAATATGAGTTATAGTGGAACATAGAAAACCTGTCTTCCTGAGTCACTGATTTCCTTGCTTCTGAAACAGATGTGTGAAGGTGAATTTCCTCCACTCTATATGTCTGAGTAACCCTGGAGTTTATATTTTTTGTATTATTATAAACAGCAAGTTATTTTCTTTGTTAGGCAAAGTACCAACAACATTAGAGGTACTTTTCAAATGAAATAAGTTACTGAAGTCCAAATACAGAATAAACCACATAATCTGACAAAGACTGGAGCCCAGGTCTTGTGGCCTATCCTGATGTAAAGTCCCTCTTGATGAGACACCTTATTTCCTTTACTCGATGTAGAAATGGTCTTGACCTGTGAAATTCTTCTTTCAGGATCCACCTACTTCAGTTTCCCTTGGATTGCGAATGGAAGAAATGATTTTCAACTTGGCCGACACACATCTATTTTTTAATGATTTAGAAGTAAGTTATGATTCTTTTATATACTCTTCATGTTGCATGTTTGGAAATGGGTGATTGGTCCTGAAATAACAGTGGAATATTATTTTTTGAACATATAATTGGAGTGGTGAGGTAATGTAATTATTGATTATATGGTAATGTGTTTTGCCTTCGTGGAATTTGTTTTGCTTTACTTTGGTTGTTGTATTTCAAAGTTTGATTCTGTGGAACCATTGATATGGATTAACAGTTGATGGCAAGAATCTTTAATCTGAAACTATGTTGATTATCAGAAGTACAGATTTCTCAGTTAATAATCACTGTTGAGATGTGTTACTTTAGTGATCCTTGCATATGTTATATGTTATCAATGTCAGACTCTTATCATATTGAATCAGGTGCTTTTCTGTCAGGCTGTCCAGCTGGTTGTATAACAGTTTAGTCAAGCCTCTACTCGGGGTTGCCAGGATTCCTTATGTCAAACTGCTGATGGTTTTATTTGTCCTTTATAGTTTGGGAGGAAATTTTTGTACAGTGGCTAGTAAAATGTGTTACAGGTAGTGACAAACATGCTGATCTTGGTTGGAAGCATTTTTCAGAATAAAGAATATTGATTTTCATGTCTACACTATGAGAAAATAGCCTATTTTCACTCTCTTCTTGATAGAGATAGTTGTTTATTTAAATCCTGCTATTAAGCAAGCTTGTGGTAGGGCTGCCAAGAGGCATTAATCATCAGGTTGTTGTTTTGCTAGATTTTATAAATGTATGTTATTTCAGACAGGAGAAGAATCTGAAAGATTCAAATAGAACTTTTACTGATCAAAGTTAATCGGCAGCAATTGGCCTTTAAATATTTCCTGATGTTTCCCCTTTTCAAAATCAAGCAAAATGCACCTTATTTCATAGATGAGCCAAAATCATTTTAAAAATGCTGGTGTGTGACAGAATTTAAATGCGGTTTGTTCAACATCTGTCCTGTATTTTGATTTCTTTTCATCTGCAGTGAAACTACTCACAGACGAATTGGCAACTTCCAGTGCAATGAAATTATTTAAATGTGCTTCATTTTCCCCCATTCCTTTAGTGAAATATTTATTTTTATACATAGAGTAAAATACAGATTTTTTTCTTTTTTTTGGCATTTTAATGTGCTTGCTTTCCTTAAGGAAATTACATGTAAGGCCTTACTACTTTTAAGGTAGAAATATTCCAAGGGAGTGACAATTTCCTAATTGCTTTAGAAAAGCTTAACAAATCATACTTGTTTTCAAAAGCTATTTCTGATTTTTGGTTGTGATTCCCTTCATAAGAGAACAGCACCAAAAAATTCTGTATTTTACTAATACATTAAAATTCCTTTCTTGGGTTTCCTTTTGTTTCCAATGATACAGACTAGATTGATATTTTGTCTTGGATTCAGCCTTGTTAGTCTTACTGATGTTAATAGGTGTATCGGGATGGGGAATACATGTAAATCCATGGCTGATTCATGTCAGTGTATGGCAAAAACCACTACAATATTGTGAAGTAATTAGCCTCCAACTAATAAAAATAAATGGAAAAAAAAATAAATAAAAAATAAACTAGTTTCCTAGCAAAAAAAAACAAGAAATTAGCAGTAATTTTCTATTGTTTTTAAACTCTACCTTCTTAAAAATGCCAAAGCTAGTCTGTGCAACGCCAGAACTATGTGGTGAAAAGTGAGAAGTTAGGCAAAGTAATAACTTGGTGTAATATAAAACAGAGACACTTCCAAACTCAGTTTGGATGTAATACAGTCAGATTTTTATTTGTTTACTAGCATTATTCACACTGAACTATACAGAGAAGGTCCGAAATAAAAGTATATATTAAAAGTTCTAGTTTAGGTTTGTGATGGATGTAGTTTTTTCATAAGCCTAAATTTTAAAAAAGGAGAAGAACTAAGGATCCATAAAGATACTGAAATACCAGATTTTATTCTTGAGGACTCTTTCTTATAAGTCAGGTAGAAAAGAGGACAAAGGACTAATTCAACCACATATAAAAATCAATAGTGAAAAATTATTTAAGCTTGTTAACTTTACCAAAGCTGACTTCACATTATTCTACCTAAGAATAATATAAAGGTATCAGCAAAAGTATAAATGAAGGACTCAGCCATTGCTCTAGATTTGCACAATGTTTAAAAAATAAATTGGTTCTTAAACTTATTTCAGTCTTTAATTTTATATTTTTGTAATTCAACAAAGCTGAGAATGGTCACTGCAAATATTAGTTTCTTTCAAACTGAAGAGTGAAATTATTTCCTGGCAAAAATAAATTTATTAGTTTAATACTCTTTAGAAAACCAAAATTATCTCATCAGGCAAAAATGATGTGGTAATGCCTGATTTCACAGTCCAGTTAGCAGTGCACTGTGGTAAGGGGCATTAATATTTTAATATATTTTAATTACATGTTTTTAGCTTTTGAAGATTTAGAGTACAAGTAATGTTAAGGAAATTAATAGTCTGTTGGTTAGCTTGATGTGTGATTTCTGAACTCTGATTGTTGACTATAGCTTCATTTTCTTTTAAAATTTTAACTTTTTGCCAGCCTGTCTGTATAATTTGGTTAGTTTGCAGCTGTGACTTATAAGAGATGCTGAATAAAGAAATACACTGTGAGGAGCTTCCAGTGAGAATTCTTACATTATCAAAATAGTTGCTTAAGGTGTTAATTAGAATATTAGTTGGGAAATTTTAGATATGATTTTAAATCATATCAAATATCTTCATTGTACTTTAAGGCATTAAAAAGTTACCTGTTTTTAGTTTTAAAAATCTTGTCATCTCGCTTACTGACAATTTTTAATAAAAGCAGTCACAATTTAAATTAATTCTGTTGCCACTTAAGGAAAAAAATAAAAAAGAGAAAGATTGGTTTTTTGAGCCATTAAAAATACTTGACATGTGAAGGAACATGAGTGACAGAGACACAATTATCAAAGAAAATACTATTCTAGCCCCCCACCCTGCCAGAGAAGGGTTTAGACTTGAGTTCCACACACTCCTGACTTTCCTATGTCCACGTCTAATGCCCTCTGTATCATTTTACGATGCTTATTATGGAAAGTCATTTTTTATGAATGACAGTATGATATTGGAGGATTTTTTTTCCAGCTTCTTGAGTAAAGCCTGTCCCTTTCTGACTGAATGGAGAAAGAGCTCTTTCTGTTGGGCATTTATTGAAAGGTGATGGGCCTTCTGAATATGATAATATTTCAGTTTAACTTGCCTTTTGTTTTGGTTCTCCTACTGGATTTCTCCAGATATAGGAAGATATTTGATCAAGATGGATGTAAGTCTAAGAAAAAATAAGGCACAAGTTTATGTTGAATTTTCTGTCTGATGTTAAGTAGTATCATCTCACTGACATTACAGTTGCCATCCTAACTGATGTTGTATCGACGTGGTAGCCTCTGAGAGTCTTTCTTTCAGACCACAGGGGTCAAGGTGGGGAAACAGAAGTGTAACAGAAAGTGGGGTCTGGCTGCTGGCTGCTCAGAAGCCAATAAAGAGGTTGGTCAAAAGGAAAGTTTGCTTTATTTTCAATGCTGGCAACCGAGGGAAGGGTGGACGCGTGTCCATAGGCCGACTTCTCTCCACTGACAATGAGGGGGCAAGAACTTTTATAGGCTGGGAGAGGGGGCTGCATGTAGAAACAGCACAGTTACTTTTGGCAGTCATCTTGAAATTGGTCATCGGTTGACTGATCCGCTTCATCTTGATTGCTTTAGATACAGTTAATCTTCAGTTCCAAGGTCAGTTTGTTCCCATTTCCTTGAGGCCGGTTCTCAGAGTTGTGGCAGCTTATGTCATGGCTACAGTCTGGTCATCAAGTAGTTAACTTCTTCCGTCTGGTGGGAGTTTCAGTATCTCTAAGACAGCTCACAGGATACCTATGGCCCGTGAGAAGGAACGAAAGGTCCTTGACTATGCTTAATGAGTACATTGTTATTATTTAGTCTCCTTTGACTATTTTCCTTCATTTTTGCACCTTCTCACTTGTCTGATTAAACTTATTCTTTAGCTAGTTTCTCCACAGGCAAAAAGGCAGGCAGAGGACATGGGGGGCGAGGACCATAGGGTCCTGCTCCATTTCGGAAGGACCCCACCTCTTGTCTTTGGGGTTGTGCACACCACGTTCTCCTAGTCAAGTGTGGAGCTGTATTGCAACTTCCTCCCTCACACTCCTAGTATGTTGGTTAGTTGGGACGGGCCAGAGGACTCTTTGGTGTTAAGCTCTACAATGTGAATGCCACAGTCCTTTCTTGGGCCTTTGACGTGTGGACTTCTGTCCCAGGTCTGATTTTCAAAGCATTTCCTCTTATAGCTGCTCGTTTTCATAATTTATTAAGAAAAGGCCTGGGACTAAGGTTCGGATCTCAATAGACCTGGGTTTGATAACTCAAAGACCAAGGAAGGGCACCACACGTGAATGGAATGCCATACTTGAAAGGAAGTAAGCTGCAATAAATTTTCTTATAAAGGAAAGAATTTAATTTGCCCCTTGGTTTCATTATGATTTAAACTTAGGATAAATTAGAATAACTAGGATAAACTTGGATAACTTTAAAATTTAGGTTATCGTGTGTTAATTATTTTGATATCTTGTTAAGAAATGATTTTTAGCTAGGAAAAGAATCTTCTTTCAAAGGAAGGAATGCCAATGCTAATTACTTCTGATCTCAAGTGAAGTATTCTGTCCTAATGTTTGTGCTTCTAAAAGTGGAGGAGCTGCAAGCTAATTTAGAAGTTGATTTTTTTAATAGAAAAGTATAATTCACCTAGAATTAATGGAGGAACAAAAATAGATTGAAAGATGTTCTATAGAATTTTAACATTATTTTTATCTGCAGTTTGAGATTTGATTATTTTCTTACACTTTTATGTGTATTTCAAATTCTCTATAACGTATACTTATTTCTTTTGTAGTCAGAAGAAAACAAACACTATTTTTGAAAACCATAGATAATATTAAAATACAAAATTAAA